TGCTTAGAATTTTTCTGCTATCTTTCTGGGTATAATTTAACTCTTTTCAAGGCTGGGCGTGGTGGCTCACGCCTGTAATCCTAGCACTTTGGGAGGCCGAGGCGGGCGGATTGCTCAAGGTCAGGAGTTCAAAACCAGCCTGAGCAAGAGCGAGACCCCGTCTCTACTATAAATAGAAAGAAATTAATTGGCCAACTAATATACATGTAGAAAAAATTAGCTAGGCATGGTGGCACATGCCTGTAGTCCCAGCTACTTGGGAGGCTGAGACAGAAGGATTGCTTGAGCCCCGGAGTTTGAGGTTGCTTTGAGCTAGGCTGACGCCACAGCACTCACTCTAGCCTGGGCAACAAAGTGAGACTCTGTCTCAAAAAAAAAAAAAAAATTTAACTCTTTTCAGCTTTTGGAGCCTGAAGGCTAAACCATATTATATGAAACATTTCAGAATTATTAAGCATTTTGATATAATTTCAGATATTTTTTATCATAAAACAAACTGACATTCATTGTAGAAAACTTGTAAATATGGGGAAGCTAATAAGATTTTAGATCATCCATTGAACTAGTTGGCAGTCTTAAAAACTTTGAAAACTTATCTGCTGAGGTTTGCCTGAGAGCAATAAATTCCAGCTTAGTAGGAGAACTACATCCACTCATGAGAGTGAACCTGTACCTCAGGTCCCAGGTGATACCGTAGTTTTGCAAGACCTTAAGCTCAGGAATCAAACTCAATGTAGGGAAACAGAAGCATGAAAAAGCAAGGAATAATGAGGATTTTCAAAGGAATGCAGTAATTCTCTAATAACAGATGCCAAAGAAACAGAAATTGATGAATTGCCTAAAAGGAATTCAAAATAATAATCTTAAGGAAACTCAATGTAATATAAGACAATAGGTAATTTAGTGAAATCAGGGAAACAATTCATGATCTGAATGAGAAATTCAGTGAAGAGATAGATATCATAAAAAAGAACCAAACAAATTTTGGAGTGGAATAATTCAGTCAATGAAATAAAAAATACAGTTAAGAGTTTTAACAAAAGACTGGATTAAGCAGAAGAAAGAACCTGTGAACCTGAAGATAGGTCTTTTGAAATTACACAGTGATAGGGGAAAAAAAGAATGAAAAAGAGTGAAGATGGCTTGTGGGACTTATGGGATACTATTAAGCAAACAGATGTTCCCATTGTGGGAGTTTTTGAAGGAGAAGAGACAGAGAAGGGGACAAAAAGCTTGTACAATGAAATAATTTCTGAAAACTTCCCAAGTCTTAGGAGAGATGTGGACATCCAGATCCATGATACTCAAAGATCCACAAACATATTCAACTCAGAGAGATTTTCTTCAAGGCAAATTAGTCAAAGACAAAGAGAATTTTATTTTTTTTATTTTTTTATTTTTTTTATTTTTTATTTTTCTTAAGCCTCTAAACATTAGGCACAAAGAGAATTTTAAAAGCAGCTATAGAAAAGCATCAAGTCGCATATCAGGGAATCCTCATTAGACTATCAGCAAATTTCTTAGCAGAAACTTTGCAAGGTAGTACAGATTTGGGATGATACATTTGAATACTAAAAGAAAGAAGCTGTCAGCCAAAAATACTATACCTAACAAAGATGTCCTTCAGAAATGAAGGAGAAACAAAATCTTTCATAGACAAGCCAAAGCTGAGGGAATGCATTACCTCTAGTCCTGTCTTATAAGACACATTTAAGGGAGTTCTTCAAACAGAAATGAAAGGACAATAATTACTATAAAAGTATAAAATTCACTAGTAGAGGTAAATATGTAGTCAAATCTAGAATACTCCAATACTGTAGTGATGGCATGTAAATCATACATATATCTAGTATGAAGGTTAAAAATCAAACCAGTCAGAAATAACTAAAGCTACAATAATCTGTTAAGGAATACGCAATGTAAAAATATATAAATTGTAACATCAGAAACAAATTGAGGGCTCCAGAGCTTTGTACTTGATAGAAGTTGAGTTGTTATTAGCTTAAAGCGGTAGATTATAAGATGTGTTATGTAAGCCTCATGATAACCACAAGACAAAAAAACGACCACAAATATATGAATAATAAAGAGAAAGGAATAAAGCTTAGCACTACAGAAAATTATCCAATCACAAAAGTAGACAAAGAGAGAAACAAAGGAGTTACAAAACAACTAGAAAACAAATAAAATGGCAATAGTAAATCCATATATCACTAATAACCTTGAATGTGAATGGATTAAGTTCTCCAATCTAAAGACAGAGTGGCTGAATGGATTTAAAAAAACAAAACAAAACAAGACCTAACTATATGCTGCCTATAAGAAACTCACAGGAGCTTTAAGGACACACATAATCTGAAAGTGAAAGATGAAGTAAGATATTCCATGCAAATAGTAACCAACAGACAGCAAAGGTGGCTGTACTTAAATCTGATAAAATAATCTTCAAGTCAAAAAACTGCCAAAGTGGCAAAGAAGGTTATTATTTTATGATAAATGGTCAATCATCAAGAGAACATAACCATTGTAACTATATATGCACCCAACATTGGAGCACCTAAGTATATAAAGAAAATACTAAAGGACATGAAGGGAGAAATAGATAGCAATACAGTAATAGTAAGGGACTTCAGTACCCCACTATCAACAATCAATAGGCCAATCAGACTAAATTAATAAGGAAATACTGGACTTGAATTGCACTTTTGACCAAATGGGCCTAACAGACGTATACAGAACTTTCCATCCAACAGCAGCAGAATTCACATTGTTTTTCCAGCATACATGGAACATTCTCCAGGATAGACCATGTGTTAGGCCACAAAACAAGTGTTAACAAATTTAAGAAGATTGAATTTATACTTAGTAATGTTTCAGACCACAGTGATATGAAAACAGAAATCAGTAATAGGAGGAATCTTCAAAAATTCACAAATATGTGGAAATTAAACAATATGCTCCTGAATGACCAGTGAGTCAAAGAAGAAATCAAAAGGGAAATTCAGAAACATCTTAAAACAAATGACAATGGAAACACAACACACCAAAACCTGTCAGATGCAGCAAAAGCATTCTTAAGAAGGAAGTTTATAGCATTAAATGCTTACATTAAAATAGAAGAAAGATTCCAAAGAAAGAGTCTAACATCCCTCAAGGAACTAGAAAAAGAAGAACAAACTAAATCCAAAATAAGCAGAAGGGAGGAAATAATAAAAACCAGAACAGAAAAACCATTAAAAGAATCAATAAAAGTAAGAGTTGGCTTTTGAAAAAATAAACAAAAATTGAAAAACCCTTAGCCAGTCTAAGAAAAAAGGGGACAAAACTCAAATAAATAAATCAAAAATAAAAGTTAAGAAATTACAACATATGCCTCAGAAATAAAAAGAATCTGCCTGGTGCAGTGGCATGTGCCTTTAATCCCAACTACTTGGGAGACTGGTAGGATGATTGCTTGACCCCAGGAGTTCAAGACCAGCTTGGGCAACATAGTGAGACTCAGCCTCAAAAATAAAATCATACGAAAGGATCATACAGGACTATTAGGAAAAGTTATATGCCAACAAATTGGATAACCTAGAAGAAATGCATAAATTACTAGAAAAATACCGCCTTACCAATATTGAGTCATAAAGAAATAGAAAACAGACCAATAACAAATAAAGAGAATGAAGAAGTAATACATAACCTCCCAACAAATAGAAGCCCAGTATCAGAGTCTTTATAACTGAATTCTACCACACATTCAAATAAGAATTAATACTTATACTTCTTAAAGTCTTCTGAAAAATAGAGCTAGAGGGAATACTTTCAAACACATTTTTTTGAGGTCAGCATTACCTTGAAAGCTACGCCAGACAAATACATCACAAGAAAAGAAAACTGCAGGCCAATTTCTCTGATTAACATTGATGCACAAATCTTCAATAAAACATCAGCAAAGCAAATTCAACAACACATCAAAAAGAAGATACATTATTAGCAAGTGGGATTTATTGTTGGTACACAAGTCTGGTTTAACATACACAAATCAATGTGATACATCACATTAACAAAATGGAAAATGAAAACCATATAATCACCTCAATTGATGCACAAATGGCATTTGACAAAATCTGATACTCTTTCTTGATAAAAATTCTCCACAGGTTAGTTATAGAAATAAAGTTCCTCAATAAAAAAAGGCCATTATGAAAAACCCACAGTTAACATTATAATCAATGGGAAAAATTGAAAACTTTCCCACTAAGATATAGTACAAAATAAGTATGCTCACTCTCACCACTTCTATTTAACATAGTACTGAAAGTACTAGCAAGAGCAGTCAGACAAGAAAAAGAAATAAAAGGTATCCAGATCAGAAAGAAGTAAAATTGTCTCTAATTTTCAGAAAAATGATTATGTATGTAAAAAAACCTCCAAGGATTACACATACACACTCACACACACAAAACCTGTTAGAACTAATAAATGAATTCACTAAAATTACAGGATATCAATCAACATATAAAATTAGTAACATTTTAATATACATATAATGACCTGACAAAAATCAAGAAAATAATCCCGTTTACAATAGCATAAAAAAACAAATTAGGAAGAAGTTTAACCAAGGAGGTGAAAGATCTGTATACTAAAAACTATAAAACATTAATGAAAGAAATGAAGAAGATACAAATAAGTGAAAAGATATCTCTTGTTCATGGGCCAGAAGAATTAATACTGTTAAAATATCCTTACTACCCAAAGTTATATATAGATTCATTGAAATCTCTATCAAAATCGCAATGGCATTCTTCACAGAAGTGGATATCATTAAGACTTTCTGAAAGCAGAAAAAAAATAAATTGTTTTATGCCTTCTATATAAACTTAAAATATATATTAATCAACTTTTTATTTTTGAGTAATGTAAGCATTAGGCATTCTCATCTTATTCTTGACCTCTCTCCACCATTTTCTTTACTGTTCTCTCTGCTTTCATGTTTCTACTTTACTACCATGGCACTCCAGGTAATAATCTCTCACCTAAAGCACCATACCTGAAGCTCACCTGTTTTTGTCCCTCTTCTTTTAAATTGAGAGGTAGTGATTCAGATGGGCTACAGAATCGAACTCATAGCTTGAGTCCCTTGGGTTTGTCAGTGTACTATGGGGCAAGGGTGGCTGCTGAGTCCTGTGGTCCATTACATGCTTAGTAAAGCCCCAAAATGTCAATTTTCTTGGGCAGTTGCAGCAGCCATTGGCACCTCTGGTTTATATATATATATGTATATATATATATATTTAAGAGTTGAAGGAGTTGAACACTCTGTTAATGATTAAAATATTTTTATTACCCATTAGTGCCCTACAGGATTAGTGGTTGCTCTTTTTGTGTATACTGAATCTAGATTTAGTCTGCCATTAAATTTTTCATACTATGGTAGAAAATTAAAAATTTTTACAGTGGTTTAGAAATTGCGTTTACTAGCATACCTAATTCTAAATGGAATATATTCTTTCTCTTGTGAATTTAATTGTTTTACCATATGAGGGTATGTGTAAAATCAAGAGAAGATATTACTTGTAGTAACTGCTATATTATAGGTTCATTTAAAATGTTTTAATCACTTTTGTTTCATAGGACAAACTATTCGAGAGAAAAGAATTATAGAAGCAGCAAATAAAAAAGAAGTAGACTATGAAGTAGGGGATATTCCAACGGAATGGGAAGGTAAGTTTCTGCTTTTATTAGAATCTTCTGGGAAGCAAATTGTTTAATGATATACAAAATCAATACAAGCATATATAATTATATGCTGTTTGTCTTTACAAAAAGTTTTACAGTCTGAATCCTTGAAACTTTAAACATTCCATTTCCTTGAAAGTTGTGAAGGTGCCAAATTTTAGTAAGGGAATGCATGTATAGCAAAAAAGAACTATTAAGCTTAACAGAGCTGGAACTAGGGTGAGGCAAGCAAAGCCCCTGAGATGCAAAATTTAAGGAGATAAAGATAAATGACCTGGGTTATACAGCTACATACATGAATAAGCAATAGACCTATTGCTTGCTGGTAGGCATAACATGCTACCTTACATGTGGTAGCAATAGGCATTATTACTTTTATGCCAGCATGTGAGTATAAACATCATTTCAGAAAAAATATCTTTTCCATTTCTGCTTATTAGCTATGAAAATACTAGAACTATGAGAAAGCATAAAAAAGATAGATACCAGAGGTTTTTTTGAACAAGTAACAGAATATAAATTGGCAGCTTCTAGGAGAGGTAATTGAGCTTTCTTATTTTAACAGACTTCCTAATGTTATAAGCTACATTTGCAATTTTCAAATAATGCAATCACCTTCTTATAATTAGCCTTTTTTATCATTTTTTTCAATAATAGTATAGAATTTAACGTTTATGGAAATAAATTAAGTTATAAATAAACAAATAGGTAATGACTCATTTTTCAGCATTTGAGACTTTCAGAAGATTAGAATGAAGTTCTAATGCTTTTTATGACTGTCCTGATCTAGTAATTTAGCATAACTATCCCATGGGGCATATGCATTAAAGCAAATGTATCAACCAAACACTGAAACAAAAAATATTTTTACAGTGGTATACATCAATTAAATGTAAAAAATAAGAACTACTTCCTGAAAAGGTAAATTAAAATATAAATAAACACAGACACAAACAAAAAACGCTATGTACAGAGAAGCAGACAGAAAAAAACATTTAAATGGTGTCAACGTCAAATGAACCTAAAGTATTTTCCAGTTCAGATGAATATTACATTTGTCAATTATTAGTAGCAGAGTACAGGTACCCACAAGTTGCATATTGTCCCATAACATGGATTAAACAGTGTGTCCTTTTTATTCATTTATTTGGTAGGCATCTATTGAGGACCTCTGCATTCATGGACCTTACATTTGCAGGTGGGAGAATAGGTGGGAGAAACTCAATAAACCAGATAAATAACTATATAGTATGTTAATGGCCACAGAAAATAAAGCCGGTAAAGGGCATAGAGAGTGTTGGGGAGGGTTTTGCAGTTTTAAATAATGTTCGGAAAAGGCCTTGCTGATGAAAGAATGTTAGGATCTTAAGGTATAAACTGTCCAGTTATCTTGCTAAATTCTCTTAAAACAATGGTTACATTTTAATGAAGAATGATATGGAATCCACCATGCAGGTATCATTAGCAGTGGCAAAATCATTATATAATGGGATAGAGGTTCAGTTTCAGATTATTTTGAGGTTAAAAAGAAGAAATGACTTGATATCAATACTTTCTTCTATTCCATCTTCCTCGTAACCTTTGCCAGACTTCACTAGGATGTTTCCTTTGTTGCATGTAGTAGTTGGGAAAGTGGGTATGATTATATAAATGAGTAATCACATTGAGCATTTCCAGCTGTAACCTTTACTAGATACATAACAGGTAGCATCAATCATCATCTCCACATGACATTTCAAATATCTCATTGTACAATTGTAAATAAATAAACTTACTTCAGCAGTTACATTTACATAGGTATATAAAACAAAGATCCTTTGAATGGTCATTTAAAATAAATTAAAGGAAGCCCTCATATCTCCTTAGAGAATAGTGACACATGATAGTGACTAGACTAGGTGGTATTTAATACGTTTAGTATCTGAGTTCTGTTAGACTCAGAAGTAACACAAATTGTTACTTTGAGGTGTTTTTTTTCATGGTTATAATTGTGCATTATGCCATTACACTTTTTCAGGATGATTGAATGCCCACTGGCATGTGTTCATAGACTTTGGAATACATGGAAATCATTAGTAAAAAATAGTATAATTAATAATGATTTTTATTTTAGGTAGCATGCAAGTGTTTTTGTACCAAGATGTACAGTTGTCACTGAAGGGATTATACTTAATGGTAGATCTGGCACAGAAGTTGGCAGACTTTTTTTTTTAAAGGGCCAAATTGTAAATATTTTAGGCTTTATGGGCTACTTGGTCTGTTACAACTACTCAACTCTGCTGTTGTAGCACAAAAGCAACCATAGATGATATGAAAACAAATGTGTGTGGTTGTGTTCCAATAAAACCTTATTAATAGACACTGAAATTTTGAATTCTACATAATTTTTATACATCATGAAATATTGTTTTTTAAAATGTTTTAGACCATTTCAAAATGTAGAAAATAGTGAGCACAATTTGGCTTATAGACTATAGTTTGCTGACACTTGCCCTAGCAGTTGATTTTTCTAAATTAACTTTCTGATCTTAATTAAAACTGCAGATATATTGCTTAAAACCTTTAATAGATATAACTCAAGTTGAGTTCTTTTCAAAGAAGCTTCTTTTCTAGAAAAAAAACCTATAAATATAGGCCGGTTGCATTGACTCACACCTGTAATCCTAGCACTCTGGGAGGCCAAGGCAGGCGGTTCGCTCAAGGTCAGGATTTCGAGACTAGCCTGAGCAATAGCGAGACCCCATCTCTACTAAAAATAGAAAGAAATTAATTGGATAACAAAAAATATATAGAAAAAATTAGCCGGGCATGGTGGCACATGCCTGCAGTCCCAGCTACTCGGGAGGCTGAGGCAGGAGGATTGCTTGAGCCTAGGAGTTTGAGGTTGCTGTGAGCTAGGCTGATGCCATAGCACTCCCTCTAGCCTGGGCAACAGAGTAAGACTCTGTCTCAAAAACAAAACAAACAAACAAAAAAAAAACATAAATATAGATAAGTAACTTTTGATCATAAAGAGGCAATTGAAAAATTCTATAACTCGCTTATTTCCTTGACTGCACAGAACAATTTTGGTATTGCTGAGCTTGATTTTCTAATACAGTTGAAAATCCTATTATGACTACTATTTTTACTGTAGAAGCATTCATTCAAAAATTGTATTAAGTACCTACCCTTTTGAGGTGTTTAGGTAGTAGAAAAATAAATCTCCGTGGATGCTTCCTGCCCTTCACAACCTTACAGCCTAACAAGAGATATAAAATCTGTGCAAGTTTTCACTAGAAATAGGCCAAGTAGGAGTAGAAGCTAATGAGAAAGAGAATACAGAAAGGAAAAACAGGAGCATAAATCCAGAAACAGGAGTAGAGAGTACAGAACACTGGAATTATATAGGAGATAGTGTGTAGGATCAGTGCAAGAGAGAACAGAATAGGGGGTATGACTAATCCCAGACCCACAGTTGAATGTTGCCGTTTCTGCTCCCACAATCATTCATTGCGGGGTCTTTTGAGGACAGATTCTGGTGCTATTACAGATGATCCTCAACATATGATGAGGTTATGTCCTGGTAAACTCATTGTAAATCGAAAATATCGTAAGTTGAAAATGTGTTTCATACACCCAGCCTGCTGAACATCATAGTTTAGCCTAGCCTACTTTAAATGCAGTCAGAACACTTACATTAGCCTACAATTGGGCAAAATCGTCTAACACAAAGCCTACTTTCTAATAAAGTGTTGAATACTTTATGTAATTTATTGAATACCATACTGAAAGTGAAAAACAGAATGGTTGTGCACCATCATAAAGTCGAAAAATTGTAAGTCAAACCGTCGTACCGTGTTTCCCCCGAAAATAAGACCTACCCATAAAATAAGCCCTAGCAGGATTTCTAAGCATTTGCGCAATATAAGCCCTACCCCAAAAATAAGACCTAGTGATGGACGTGGCTACGCAGCATATCTGCACAACCCATGCATTTCATAGTGGAGCGGTAAAGAAGAGGAGCAGCCCTTCTCATCTGCCCCATCGTGACAGCTATCCTGAGGTGACCAGAAAGGTGCGGGCAGCCACACCAACAAGGTCAGCTCCCCCTGTCAGGTCCTGACCATCCTGTGCATGCTGCAAGCTGAGGCTTTGAGGGGAAAATAACACATCCCCTGAAAATAAGCCGTAGGGTGGCTTCTTGAGGAAAAATAAATATAAGACCCTGTCTTATTTTCAGGGAAACACGGTAAATTGTGAAACTATCTGTACTTGGATGGTAGTAGGCAGGCTGACAGAGCTGCTCAGAAGAGAGTGGCTGGTAAATGAATAGAGCTCAGACTTTAAAGCCAATTCAAATAGGGTTTGATTCCCAGGCTGCTACTTACTAATTATATGGCTGTAGGCAAGTTGCTTAATTTCTCTGGTCCTCAGTTTCCCAATTTATAAAATAGGATCAATAATTCTTATTTTCAGACATGTAGCTAGGGTTATACCTATTCCTCTTCCTACTTTAGTGTTCTTTACATGTTGCTCACTAAAGTGAGAGACTGCTTAATGAGCATTGATGGTTTTTAGAGCCAGAGATACAGGGTTGGATATGAATTCAAGTCCCACCATTACCACTTAATGTATAAACTGAGGAAAGTTATCTCATTTCCCTATAAAATAAGGACACCTCACAATTTTGTATGCCAAGATTGAATCAAGTAAAGTGGTAAAACAGTGGTTTTCTACTTTTTTCTTTTTTTTTTTGAGACAGAGTCTCACTCTCTTGGCTGAGTTTGAGTGCTGTGGCATCAGCCTAGCTCACAACCTCAAAACTCCTGGGCTCAAATGATCCTCCTGCCTCAGCCTCCCAGTTAGCTGGGACTATAGGCACATGCCATCGTGCCAGGATAATTTTTTCTATTTTTAGTTGTTTGCCTAATTTTTTTCTATTTATAGTAGAGATGGGGTCTCACTCTTGCTCAGGCTGGTCTTGAACTCCTGAGCTCGAGCAATCATTCCGCCTCGGCCTCCCAAAGTGCTAGGATTACAGGCGCAAGCCACCACGCCTGGCCAACTTTTTAAAGACCATATTCCCTACAATATATTTTCTCACAATCTCCTATATATCCTCTTAGGCTAAACAGATATTATTTATCTTTGTTTTTTGAGTCTTTTATAAAAAAATATAGATTTATTAAATAATAGTGATAATAATAGTAATAATTTAGACATATATTCTTATTTTATGCCAGACTCTGAGCTAAGCATTTAGATATATTATGTCATATAATTTTCACAACAACCCCAAAGTGTAGATTCTTTTATAATTTCCATTTTGTAGATGATAAGGCTGATGCTTAGAAAATTAAATAACTTGCTCCAAGTGGCACAGCAAGTAAGTGATGAATTTGATGATTTGAACCCAGAAAATCTGACTTTGGAACCTGCTCTCATAAGCATTAGATTACTGTCCTCTGTGTGGTTCTGATAACTTCCCCAGAGGCAGCTGCTCACTCCCTTCCCATGGCTATAAAGCACCTAGCACAGTGCCCAGTGCCCAATAGGCACTTAACAAATGTGTGCTCTACCTCTGCAGCTTGTCTCCCAAGTGTTAGAGCGAAGGCCTGATGATACTTACCATAAGCAGAAGCAGATCAAAAGACAAATATCTGTAAATGAAAACTTGTCTAAGTCCCTTCCTTTTATAAATTGAATAATAACTAATTCAAATTTCCAGAATAATATAAGTTTGATACTGCCTTGAAGTTTACAGTGTTTAGGTTTGGTCTGTATGCCATAAATACACTAAGTTGAATTCAGACAGACAACTTTCATATTTTAAAAATATGAAACTGTCCCCTTTTATCTTCTCTGCACTTACATAACACAAATCGTCATCAGATATATGTTTGTGTGTTTATTTTCTATAAGCCATTCATTATTATATATGCTCCAGTAGAGAAGGGACTTCATCTGTTTGATTCCCTGCTCTATCTCCAATATGTAAAGTCATATGGAATAAGTGCTCAAAAAATATTTGTTTTTGCATGAATAATTAAAATGTTTGTGCTAATTATGGAAAACTGACACTTAAATATTATTCTACTTTCTAGCATGGATTAGAAGAACAAGAAAGACTCCACCTACAATGGAGGTAAGAATACACGCAGAAAATATTCAAGTAGTATATGTTTATAATGCTGTGTTTCTCAGTTAGGAGTTTCTGTTAGGTTTTAGTCTGAAATGTTTTTGACCCGCCCATGGCCAAAGAATGACCAGACATGCTGAAGCTGGGCAAACACAAAAATGAGGTTTATTGAGTAGAGCAAGATAGAATTATAGGGCAAGAGCAAGATAGAGGTTTACAGAGCATGGTACATACACCACAGATGACGATCAGACCTACAGTCCTAGCAAAAGGAGAGCAAAAGAAAGGACGCAAAAAGGGACTGGTTAAGGCTTGCTTCTTGTTTTATAGTGTCCGGATAGGGACCTCCCTGTGGTTCAAACATCACCATAGAACCACTTTAATTGGACAGTTGGGGAGCTGCATGACCTGAGTCTTACTGTGCATGTGGGTTCTAGGTCACATTCTGGACTTTATGGTACCTATGCTGCTTGGCCTGTGGGCCAGAGAGTCTTCTGCATATTTTTGCAGCTGGTGTGCCAAGTTCTGATTGGCAGATTCGTAGGGTATTCCTTCCTCCCCCAGGTATGGACAATTAGGTTTGGGCAGGACCAAGATGGAAACAACAGCACCCACTTTCATCCCTAGGAGACCCTCACTATCTACCTAACATTCCTCACTCTCTGTTCTAGAGGCCCATATCATTGGGTAGGGGCGTCAACTCATCTGGCTGCTTTGTGCTGAGTAAGGATGTTGATCCCTATTAGGGTGGCCTCTTAAAGGATTTTTGCGGGTCTCTCCAGGGGCCTTTGGTATATGTTCTGGGGAGGATGTTGTAGTTGTAGGTATGAGGAAGAGGTAGATACCAGGGCTGGTGGAGAACTTAGGACCATTTGTAGCCTGATGGCCTCTAGACAGGATGAAATAAATTTAGGTAGAAAGTTTATAAGGATCGGTCCGATATAAGAACTCCCTGAATGTAGAGTAATAGAGTGACCGAGGGAATTATTAAGGACATCCACCAGGGCCTAGAGATCTCGCCTTGTGTCTGGAGATTGGAGGTGGACTCTAGGATGGCACTGATGTTGTCCTGAACCTGTCCTGACCTGTTAACATAGAAGCAGCACTGTTCTTTTAAGAACAAGCAGGTGCCCCCTTCTGCTTTAGTTAGGAGATCAAGGGCCCACCTATTTTGTAAGGTGACCCCCGCCAACAAATCTAACTGTTCCTATAAGAGGGCAAGTTTGTGGCTAAAGAACCTAATACATCTGAACATATCAAATGGGGTTGAATTGTAGATAAGTACATGGAAAGTAAACAAAATTCAGTTGTTAACTCCAAGAAAAACAAAACGAGTAAGAAAAGGAAAAATAATCCTATTACATAACTCACTTGTTGACAGTGTTTTCTCATAATGAATATTGATCTATAACTATATTGAGAATATTAGGGGACAAGAAGGATGAAGTAAATCTTCATTTTCAAAAATGAGAAGGTGATACATAATGCTTAAAAGTGGAAAATAAAGAAGTAATAATATAAGAATGTTATTTAGATATTATGAAGTATTTCAGGGCATAGCCTGCTTTATAATTATCAGACGCTTTGTGTCTTTTTGGATTGACCTTTATTATGACCAAAAACATCAGCTGAAAGAATATAAAGTAGTTGCTTTTGAGAAAGGGAAAGTATTTTTCATAGCAAGCCCCTTTTAGAATGATGTGATCCTACAAACTATGTGAACATACCGCTTTGATTTTTAAAAAGAAGAATTTTTTAAAACCATATACACAATGCTATAGATGAGGGGTAGCAAACTGGTTCAGCAGAACACCATATAATAAATATTTTAGACTTTATGAGCCAAACAGTCTCTGTCAAAACTACTTAATTCTGCCAGTGTAGTGTGGAAATAGTTATAGACAGTATGTAAATGAGTAAATGTAGTTGTGTCCAGTAAAACTTTATTTATAAAAACAGTGGGCACGTGGATCCTATTTTGCCAGTTCTGCTACTTACTGATCAGTTGTTTTCAAATTAGAGTGCCTATACCACTGAGTATACAAAGACTTCCTATGGGATATACAGGTATGAATAGTTTTAAAGAAATGAATTTTCATATTCTCTCTTTTCATATGTAATCTTTCCTAAAAATGATCTGCCTGAGAACTCCTTCTGGTCTGCCAGTTCTCCTTTCTGACTTCTTTCAAAATTGTCTGTCTCCCACTTTTCAAAAGAAAAGCTTACCCCTTGTCCAAACTAAATCTTACTATGTTGCTTTGCCTTGGGGTTTAAAAGTCTCCAGGACACCAAACAAAGGGACTACTGGAGACTGAACCTGTCCTGAGGGAGACTCCCTTGAGAGCAAAGCAAAGAAAGCTTTAATAAAAATAATTGAAGGGGCCAGGCGGTGGCTCACGCCTGTAATCCTAGCTCTTGGGAGGCCGAGGCAGGCGGATTGCTCAAGGTCAGGAGTTCAAAACCAGCCTGAGCAAGAGCGAGACCCCATCTCTACTATAAATAGAAAGAAATTAATTGACCAACTGATATATATATATAAAAAAAAAAATTAGCCGGGCATGGTGGCGCATGCCTGTAGTCCCAGCTACTCGGGAGGCTGAGGCAGAAGGATCGCTCGAGCCCAGGAGTTTGAGGTTGCTGGCTAGGCTGACGCCATGGCACTCACTCTAGCCTGGACAACAAAGCGAGACTCTGTCAAAAAAAAAAAATAATAATAATAATAATTGAAGGGGGCAATACATTATTTCATCCAGACAACAAACTCATGGCAAAGTTCCATGCCTTATAGTTTCTCTGTCTACCTAGCTAGCTAGCTAGCCATTTATCTATCTTAAAATTAAAATTTACAAGTGAGAAAGTTGTCATGGGGATGCATAATAACACGTTTATTTGAATTTTAAAATTAAGTCAGGCTTTTTCTGACAGAGAGTAAGTCAGATTTGTCTGATTGAGTTTGACAATGAGGACTAGCTTTGCCAATTAAGTTATATGGTTATATTTTCCATAAATTGAATAAACTAAACTGCAGCTCCAAGGCTCTGACAAAAACATATTTAAAGCATTTATTCAATACACAATAAGCCAGAAGATGCATTCTTTGTCATTATTTAAGCATCAACTGAAATGTGCAAGGTGGTACATAGTTTTTCAGAAGTATTAGAAAATAAGTGTGTAAAAAATTGAGAAAACCACTGCTACTATTGTTTATGGATGTATAGAGATGTAGTAAAAGCATTAAAACATACATGAAAATGATAGACAAGGAAGTTTGAGGCAGTTATCTCTGCAGAAGGAGAATGTTGGGGGTGAGTCACAGACGTCTTTGGTCATATTTGTAGTGTTTTATTTCTTAAGTTGGATGGTGGTTACATAGGTATATATTATTAGCTATATTTATTTTTACACATGAAATATTTTATTTAAAAAGAATACAATGAAACCTTGTAATCTTATGTTTTAAGAGACCTTGTTGGGCCCCAGCAGAAAAACAAGATATTCAGAATGGACTAAAAAATAAGATACTTGAAATTTGAAAATACCAAAGGCACTTACCATAGCAATATCCATAAAAGCAAATCAGTGTGTCTTAGTTCTTAGGAGTCCTTTTAAAAGCCTAATGTTTATATATTTTAATTATTCATTCGATTACTTATCATCAAGCATCAGTATGTGCTCAATAGCTAACATAATTTCTTTGTAGACTTATTTTGTATATACCAACCTATCCTAGACTCATTAAACATAACACTGTTGCATAATATTTAGATTCAGTTTTTAGTATCATTTTTTTCTCTGTGAAAATGAACTACTCTGATACTTTAAAGTTGCAAGGAAAAAAAACATTCACATACTACCTTCAGAAATTGGATTTATTACACATTTACACAGGAGCATTATGTTTTCAGTGATAGACTTATTCTGAGATCTTTGGCTTCCAAGGCTAGAAAGGATATATTCTGAGTTTGAGCAGCTTCCTATTCTTTATTTACCTACTGGCATTTCTGCCTCCCCAAAGGAAAAGATGTGGTTGAATGGGTTTACCACCATCCACAATGGAAGGTCCCTGTTGAGCAGAGCTTAATGCCAGTCATTTGACTCCCCTCATGCCTAACTCCTTCATTTGTGCCTGCCTTTCATCAGGCAAAGAGGTAGAGTCTGCACCCAGAAGTACCTGAGGCTCTGTGGTGCACACCTGCCAGTGTAGCTGTTGAGCACTTTTGGGACTCTGGCTTAGCTGATACTATGACGTTACTTAATTTTTTCCCTTTGTTTTATTAAAAAATGAATATAATAATATGTTTTTAAAATTTTTATAGAAGTAATAAATTACCCCAAATCCTGTGGCTGACTGCACAACTTTTTATTTTGACACGTTAATTTACCCATGCATACATACATTGGTACATAGTTGTATTTGTGGTATTCTTACTCTTTTGTATTTTGCTGTTTTCACTTAACTATCATAATAAACATAATAGCATAACACTTTGAGATTCCTTTTCTCTATGTATCTTCTTTGGTAGTGACTTCTAGCTCTGTGAAAACTAAAACTAAGAAAATATAAAATTTACCATGCTTCCTCATTTTTTCTTTTCTTTCTTTCTGATTTAGTGTCTCACTGTGTCATCAAGGCTGGAGTGCCTTGGAGCATGATCATAGCTTACTGTAACCTACAATTCTGAGGCTCAAGCAATCCTCCTGCCTCAGACTCCCAAGTAGCTAGGAACATGCCACCATGCCCAGCTAATTTTTAAATTTTTTTTAGAGGTGGGGTCTCACTATGTTGCCCAGGCTGGTCTCCAACTCCTAGGCTCAAGTGACCCTCTGGTCTCAGCCTCCCAAAGCTCTGGGGTTACAGGCATGAGCCACCTGTAATAAGCATACAGGCCTGTGCTTTTGTAGAACAATGTAAAAAATGAAAATGAATCATTTGAATGTTTTGAGCTCCTCAGAATCTGTACTATTAATCAATAAACTATTCTGCCTTTCTCATTGTAGGTATTAAT